TTCAAACTTTTCCATTATTTTTGAAAGCTTCATATTGTCATCCTCAGCATCAAATGTGAAGTTATTGTAGACTTCTAGAGCTTCATCTCCCACGACGTGCAAAAACACAGATGCTTTCATTTTAGCACTCCTTTCATCAGCTCCAATCGCAGACAAATACAGTTCAAAATGTTGCTTGAATCTCTTCCAGTTTTCAGCCACGTTACCTGTTAGCTGCAGAGCTGTGGGCGGACGTAAAGCTTCCATCTTTGCTTTGTTCAAAGGGGTTTTGTTCAACGCCGTATTCCTCGCTTTCTTTTTCCTCCGTGGAATCTGCCGTTCCAAGTCCTTTTAACGTCCTCTTGTCCTCCAGATCACTTCTGACACCATGTTACTTTTCGTGGTTCGTTTGATAAACGACTCCTGGAAAGAGTAGAGGTTCTTTATTTGGACTGCCGTCTTGGTCAGAGGGAGAAAGCAATCACCATGTGTACATCTCGTAGACTCTCGTGCGACTCACGAATCGCTGCACATGCGCTGTGTGTGCTCTGTGCAGGCATAGCTAATCGAACAAGCAAATACGATTTGCTCATATCATTACATCTCCCTTTCTTAAACTAAAATCTTCACTTCTAACAAATGTAATGAAATTAAATAACAGCAGTTTGCTTTTTATCAGTAGCATTCCTTAATCAAAATTGTTATTTAAACTTAAACTGTCGCTTTGTTCAAAATAAAGTGACATTTCCCCAACTTCCCACAATAAACTCTACGTTCACATTTTGCACAATACTTCTCGTGAGGATAAGCGGATCGGAAAATGAATGAATGAATGAAAAACACTTCTCAAATATAGTATTTGATAACAACGTTGTCATGCAAAAATCTGTATCTTCAGAGTTCAGTTCAGCACACAATCTTCCTTTTATAAATCAAGCCTCCACCACCCTTGTAATTTGTGCCACGGGTTCCGCCTAACAGCCCTGCCCTCTAAACACCCACATCAACAAAATGCAAAGCACCTCGGCTAGCCTGTGGATCGTTGTCACTTGACTTGCAATTATTCAAAAAAAAAAAAGACTAAGAATTAAACATTTAGTAACACATAAGTGCTTATGGGAAACGTGGCAATTTGAAAGTACTTGTACGGTACATGCCATATGGTGATCGAAGCAGTGATGTGGAACAAAAAATATATATACAGGTGTGTGTATATATATTTGTGTGTGTACACACAAACATGGATGGATGTTTGTCTCTGTGTCCCCTTGTTACTTTTCGTGGTTCGTTTAATAAACGATTCCTGGTAAGAGTAGAGGTTCTTTATTTGGACTGCCGTCTTGGTCAGAGGGAGAAAGCAATCACCATGTGTACATCTCGTAGACTCTCGTGCGACTGACGAATCGCTGCACATGCGCTGTGTGTGCTCTGTGCAGGCATAGCTAATCGAACAAGCAAATACGATTTGCTCATATCATTACATCTCCCTTTCTTAAACTAAAATCTTCACTTCTAACAAATGTAATGAAATTAAATAACAGCAGTTTGCTTTTTATCAGTAGCATTCCTTAATCAAAATTGTTATTTAAACTTAAACTGTCGCTTTGTTCAAAATAAAGTGACATTTCCCCAACTTCCCACAATAAACTCTACGTTCACATTTTGCACAATACTTTTCACCACATTTCTCCCCCTCTTTTTTTTTTTTTTCATGTCTGAACACAGAAAAACACATTAGATGTTCTCGATCAGTCTCTCGGGTGGTTTCACCTTCCTTGAGGACTTTCTGACTGCTTGTCTTAGAATCTGAGGTGTTTCAGTGGGCGGACTCTGGGCTGTGTTAGGTCCTTCAACAGTCTCAGTCCCTTGACTTTCTAAGGCTGGATCTTTGAGAAGATCTCGGCGGTTTCTCCGTAGAACAGCGCCTTCCTCTGTCTGAACAGTGTATGACCTTGGTTGGACCTGACACAGTACAGTTCCTTTCCGTGACCATGTGTCTGTTTTGTCTTTGTACCTTACAGGGTCACCGGTGTGTAGCTCAGGTAGGTTCCGTGTTCCTCTGTCATAGTAGAACTTCTGTTTTTGTTTCTGTTGTTCCTTGAACACCCTCACTTGCTCCCCTTCCCATGTTCTGAGCATGTTTTCCGGGACGGGCAAGTTGGACCTCAGCACACGTCCCATGAGCAGTTGGGCCGGAGACATACCACACTCGAGCGGCGTTGTGCGATAAACCAGCAAGCTCCGGTAGAAGTCTGTTCCGCTGTCCGCCGCCTTGTGCATCAGCCGTTTCACAGTCTTGACAGAACTTTCCACCAAGCCATTGGACTGTGGAAAGTGTGGACTCGACGTCATGTGCTTAAAGTCCCACTCCTCGGCAAAGTGTCGGAACTTCTCGTTTGCGAATTGCGGGCCGTTATCTGAAAAAACTTGGTGTGCAATCCCGTGTCTTGAGAATATGGCTTTCATGCAGGTTATCACCGCCTCTGCCGTTGCGGTTTGCAGTCTGCAAACCTCCGGATACAGGGAGTAATAGGCTGTGACCACAAGATAATCTTTTCCTTGACACGAAAACAGGTCAGCACCCACCTTCTGGAATGGTCTGTCCGGTGCTTGGTGTGGGTGAAGTGGCTCTGCAGGTTGATTTGCTTGATATTTGAGGCAAATTGCACATCTAGACACTTGATTTGCGATGTCTTGATTCATTCTAGGCCAGAACATCAGTTGTCGTGCTCTTTTCTTGCACTTTTCAATTCCCAGATGACCTTCATGAATCTTTTCGAGCATCTCCTTTCTCAAGCTCTTTGGAATGACAATTTTACTGCCTTTGTAAACGATCTCACCCACCACAGATAACTCCATCCTGTAGTTCCAATATTCTGCTGCGCCTGGTGAACAATTTTGTTTCACATCGGGCCATCCATGTCTGATGATTTGTTTCAAGTGTCTCAGTGTCTCATCTTTGTTAGTCTCCGTCTGTATGATCTCCATCCTCGCATCTGCAACTGGCAGTGCACTTGTGATCATGTGTACGTAAGCTTCCACATCTTCTTCCAGTCTAGTCCTTGAGCGCTCCTTTGGGTCAACAGCTCTGGATAGCGTGTCAGCTGTATACATCAGATTTCCAGGGGTGTATGCAACATTCAGTGAGTAGCGTTGCAGCCTGATCATCATTCGTTGTATACGGAGTGGACAGTCATTTAGTGGTTTTCGAAACAAAGTAATTAAAGGCTTGTGATCAGTCTCCACGCTGATTTCTTGTCCTGACACAAATTGATGGAATCTCTCGCAGGCATACGTGATGCTGAGCAGTTCTTTTTCAATCTGTGCATAACGTGTTTCCGGATCCGTCATTGAACGTGATGCATATGCTACAGGTTGCCAGTCCTCGTATTTTTGCAGGAGTACTGCACCAAGCCCACTCTGTGATGCATCCGATGATATTTTGATTGGTTTCTCTGGATCATAGAATTTCAGTACTGGTTTCTCTGTGAGCAGCTTTCTTAGTTCAGTCCATGCCTTTTCATGTTCATGATTCCATTGCCATTCTATGTTCTTCTCAGTTAGTTGTCTCAGTGGGGCCATCTTCTCTGACAAGTTGGGTATGAATTTTCCCATGAATGTAATCATCCCATTAAACCTTTGCACATCTTTTTTGCATTGTGGCCTTGGCATGTTTTCAATAGCAGACACTTTTCGTGGGTCTGGTCTGATACCATTACTGCTTAGGATATCTCCCACAAATGTCACTTCTGTCACACCAAGCTGACATTTCTCTTTATTCAGCTTCAGGTTTGCTTTTCTTGTTGCTTCTAGCACGGCTTTCAGTCTTTCGTCATGCTGAGCTCTGGTAGTGCCCCAAATGATGATGTCATCCATCGAGGTATCAACTCCTTCCAAGTGCTCATAGATCATGTTGATTGTTTTGTGATACACCTCAGGAGCTGAAGCAATGCCAAATGGTAGTCTTAGGAATCTGTATCTTCCAAACGGGGTGTTGAAAGTACATAGTTTTGAACTTGGCTCGTCCAGTTTCATTTGCCAAAATCCTGAAGACGCATCCAGTTTGCTGAAATATTTTGCATTTGAAAATTGTGCCATGATCTCTTCACGAGTAGGTAGCTTGAAGTGTTCTCTCTTAACAGCTCTGTTTAGGTCTCTTGGATCCAAACATATTCTGAGTTTTCCATTCTTTTTATCCACTACAACAAGCGAACTCACCCAGTCTGTTGGCTCATCAATTTTCTTTATTACATTCATGCTCTCCATAGTGTCCAATTCTACTTTTAGTTGCTTTTGCAGAGCAAATGGAACTTTTCTGCATGGATGTATGACTGGTGGGACACTTTTGTCTACTCTAACTGTGTGTTCTCCTGGTAGGCAGCCTAAACCCTGAAACAAGTCTTTGTACTCCTCCACAAGTTGATCATATACAGTCTCTTTTTGTCTGTCCACGACAAAAACTCTCTTCACTAGGTGTAGCCTCTCACATGCCGACAATCCTAGTATGGCCTGCACATCCCTGGGAACTATGATGAAGGATAGCTTGTGCACCTGGCCTTTGTGCGTCACATTCACGATGCATTTTCCCTTCTTCGGTATGTCTGCACCTGCATAAGCTGTGACTTTCACGATTGCTCTTTGTATTTTTGGTCTAGGTCTTATTTTCATGAAATCGGTCTCTGACATCACATTCACATTGGCTCCAGTATCCAATTTGAATTTCAGATGAATGTCGTTCACCTTCAGTGTAGTGATCCAATCTTTTTCTCCTCTTTCATCTTTTAATGCATCCACATAAAGGTCTTCTGCTTCATAATAATCATC